ACTCTTAGAAAACAATCCATTTAACAATCAACTGCAGTCATGATATCCTTTCTGATTCTTTGTTCCTTGGAGAGACCTTAACCTCTCCTATGATATCAGAAATAAACAGTATGACCTAAACAGGGAATAACCAGCTGGGGAGAAATGGAATTGTTCAAGGACTACTGGAGGATGCACCCAAAGACAGACAGACAGACAGACAGACAGACACGCGTGGCAGCACAGGTCACCGCTGTGGATGGTCCCTGTCATACTCTCCCGTGGCGTCAAAGGGGCCACACTGGACCTTCCCTAACACTCTGCCCTGCCTGGCTCTCAATGTGTCAGCGGTGCTCTGCCCTCTGGCAGCATTTTCTGGGGAGTCTGCTTGGCTGCGTCCAGACTGTTTTTAGATCCAGGGAGGGTTCTTCTGAGTCTGCTATCTTTGGGGGAAGCAAATCACTCCCTTCCTCTTTTAGCTGGGAAGGCACAGCTCCAGTTTGAGCTGATCCCTCAGCAGGGCCCTCTTGGCTCCTAAGTGTCCAAAGTGAGACCTGGAATCAAGAGTGTCTGTCCTTTGGTCAGTGTTTTAACCCCCTAGAGCGCTACCCAAGAATTAGAGGCAACGTGGGAAAGATAAAACCTCTTACATTAGACAACAGCAAAGGGTGTGTGGCGAGTACAGCCGTACAGCGGGCTCTCGAACAACACTACATTAGGGTGCTGTACCCTTCCTCCCCCGAGAACTCCCACAAGAGAGGACACTGAAATCCCTGCACTGACTTCATACACAGCCAGGGATGCTGTGAGCTCACAGCCGTCCCTCACATGTGCTGGGACACATGACTCAAGGGTCCAGGCCAAATCGTTCCCCACACCTCTGACCCCGCAGGGAGAATTAATGATTATGGCAGAAGGTGCCAAGTACCTCAGGCAGAAAGTTTAGAGACAAAGTCGCAAGAGGGGAGCTGACATTTCTTTTCTGACTTAAGTTTTCTGCTTAGAAAATGGACATAATTTCTGCTTTTCCTTAGAGTTGACTGGTCCTCACTAAGTTCAGCACACAGCACTTTCTGTTTATATATATGGCAGTCAGGAATCTTAAAAACCAAGAGGAGTGGTCAGAACGTTTTAAATGAACTGATGTGTGATGACTGTGCTTCGTGGAGCATCGGTGGGACTGATACAGCAACGATGTTAACGAAAGTGAAAACTGTGTTTTCTCTCCAAAACAGCTAAGAACTTGAAACATTATCTCTACTTGGCACTGCAGCGCATTACAGGTGCAGGCAGGCGGTAATGCTCAGAGATGAAGGGCCTGGGCCCTGAAGCCAGCCCAGTCTGACCTCGGTTCCCCCGCGACTCAGGAAAGTGCCTCAACACCTGTACTCAACCACTCAGCCACCGAGGTTAGGTTTCCTCCCCGGTGAAATGGGCAGGACCACTGCAGGCAGCCTACGAGGGCTGCGGGAGGACAGACTGAGAAGTGGGCCGCCGTACACTGCGGAGCAGGCGGTACGGACTGTTGTGCGTGCTGCGTAGGCAGTGGCTCCACGCAGTCTGCGCTAGCTGTCAGGGAAGGCGGAGTTGAGGAAGAGATGCCCCTGAGACGTCAGCCTGGGACCGTCTGCTAAGAAAAGTGCACATGTGTATGATCTCAATCATTTCAATAATTATTCTCAGATATACGGACTCAGAGAAGGACCTGCTGTGTGCTATTAAAATTCTCCCATTTTCTAATACCTGAATCTCAGCTTCCACATTTCTATTCCTTATTCCTTACGCATGAGGCCAGAAATCAAGGCAGTTTGACATAAGATAGAGAAGCAAGGCTAGCTAACCAGGGCGAAGTTCTGGTGGAGCACGATGCTTTCAGGTGGCTGGGGAGTGAAGAATAGTTAAGACAGGTTTCTGTTGGGGGCGGAGTATCAGGAGGCTGTGAGAGAGAAGGTCAGAATGTAGATTTGATTTAATGTCCTGACGAATTCAGCTCAGAAAACGAGTCAGACAGACCCCGTGATCTGCATCTGGTGTGGCTGAAGCAGCAACCCAGGTCTCCCTACCCAGGGCTCAGGGACGCAGCGTCATTCCACAATTTGCTGGTTGTCAAAAGGGCAGTTCATGTATCAGGCCTTTAGAAGCAGGGACACTTTTATGGGGAACACTGCTCCCAGGACTTTCATGAGTCTTGCCACAGTACCCCATGCGTGTGCTCATCCGTCCTCCTCTCATGGAACAAATGTTCACTAAGTGCCTACTGTGTGCCAGACATTGTGGCAGATGCTACAACATAATATGGGAGTTCCGTAATATCAGGGGTAACAATAAATAATTCAGTGCTTACTGCATACTAAAACGACAAGATAAATTAAAGACTAGAGTTAAATTCTGAAGTCATTTGTGGGTAAGGCACGTGTGTGTGTGTGTGTGTGTGGGTGGGTATGTGCTTCATGCTTAATTTAATGAGCAATGCAAAGGCGCAGCGCGCGGGGCGGGAGCTCCGCAACGCACACCTCCACTGCTGCCACTTGTTTAATGAACACTCCTGGGCACTCTTTCAGTCGGAAGACGGTTCATTAGATTTGCGCATCTGCCCTTCTCAGCAATCTGTCGTGTTTCCGATGAAGGTGGGAGAAAGCACAGAACATCTCTCTTTCGGGTATGTTATGAGTAAATCAGCTTCCAATGATTACAAAGTCATAAAGAGCTCAGGATGCCTAATTTCAGGAAAACAATTTGTCTGAGTCATTCTCTTCCCATTCCTATCGAGTTATCTTCTTCCCCATCTTGAGGATTTCAAGTACTATCCCCTAAAAAAAGAAAAAAACTAACCACCTGTTATTTTTAAGCTATAAAAAAATAAGCATATTTTTAAGATACCAAACAATGAGTCCCTTCAAAAATGCCTTGAAAGTCACCTTCTTGAGGTTTACCCTTCTTGTCCTAAATGAGGCCATCACTCCCTCCTCCGGGTCCCTCCACTTTATACATTTATATACTGCAACCCGCCCCCGGGGCTGGGTAGCTGTGGTGTTGTGTGTGTATAAATAAGTTACTGGAAAGTAAAGAAAACATCTGTTTTTTAAAAAACTTTGTCCTTGTCTCAGTACCTACTACACAGGAGAGGGCAATAAAAGTGTTGATATGAATGGAGAAGGTGAGTTTCCCTAAGAGGGGCCTTCAACTACGAAAACATAAACTCACTCATTTGCTGCCCCTCTGCAAACGTTTATTCAAGACCTGCTGGGTCATGGCACTGTGAAGGACACACACAAAGAGCTGGGACACATGCACGAACGTGAACATGGCCTTGCTACATGCTCTTCGGGGCGACAGTGACAACCCCACAGAGATGTGCTCTGAAGGGACCATCCACCTCCAGGCAGGGCTTCAAGGAGAGACGGCCACACTCCTGGGAGGAGATGCAGAAAGGTCCTTTCACGTCTCTTACAAGAAAGCTGCTGCACAAAAACAATGTTTAACGTTCTATTCAGTGGATTCTTCTCAGAAACCAGTTTTGGGCTAAAAAGAAAAAAAAGAGGCCAAGTAACCTGAGCTCATCATTCGCCACCTCCAGAGGTGGCCCTGTCCACCGGGGGGACACGCCAAGTGGAGAGAGGTGACTGATGCCTGCAGGCTGAGCAGCCTCAGTGCCTGTCCTCCGACCCCCTACAGAACTTGGCAAATATGTCAAAATGCAGGGCCAGAATTTAGCGTTTAGTTTTTATTCTGGAATTTATTTTGAGTGGGCTGAAAATTGAAATGATCAGGATGGTGGGGAAGATGTGTAAGCCTGAAACCCAAGGTTTGTTGAATCGACCCAGGAAGAACGCAGGTGGAAAGGTGTTCCATATGAGATACTGACAGACTAATTCACACGGAGACCTGGCCGTGCGCACTGCTGCTACGTTCTCTGCGCTGAGCAACAGTGGGCGTGTGCAACCACCCCTGCCTTCAAGGCACTGAACAAGATACACCAATAAACAAAGTACAGTGGTAAAGGGGCCACAGAGGTAGGAATAAGACAGACAGGCAGCCTGTAGGAGACAGCGATCAACCCTGCCTAAAGTAGGAAAAAACAACGGATCGTGCCTGATCATTACTGGTAGGAAAAAAGAAGTTTTCACATGAGACTCTCTGATTCTTGTCAAATTAACCAATTTGCAGATGATGAAGAGAAAAATCATTCGTTCAATACACACTTGACTGAGTACCTTGTACCAGAAATGCCTGGGTTGCTGTTACTGAACTAGAAATTTACACAGAAATATGTATATTCTAACATCCTCAGATATTTATTATCAGTCAATTAAAATGAAAAAAAAATGCAGATCTCTATGGATTCTGCTGCTATACCTAATCCCTAAAAGATGCCGCAGCAGAATGCCCCACCTGCCCCTACAGACGAGCAGAAGACAACTGTGCCCAACGCCAAGCTCACTGCGGCCGTGTCAGCTCAGTGTTGATGCAGCAAAAACACCGGCAAGGCCCCAGGCAGCTCTGAAGAGCAGGGCCATCCCTGCGCAGACCTCAGCCGTGTCAGATTCTCTAGCGCCCCTTCGGATGCATCCTGAAGCCTCGAAGGACTGATACTTTTAGTCAGAGGTTTTAGCATTTTGCGTGGAATAAATGTTTTCTTGTACAACTGGTAAAATGACAGGCTGGCTTTTGAGCGCCTGACTCCCTGCCAGACCCCATCCTGGTTCAATGCTGCTAGAAACCCTACACATGGATTTCCTGTGTCCTGCAGACACAGGGGAAAACACTCGGCCATAACATCTGAATGCTCTTCGAGAAGCCTCAAGGCTGCCGTGTGTAGCCAAACATTTCTACACAGAAGAAATGAGGCACGAGACTCTGCTTCTGGTTTTAGGAGAAGCACTACGTTTAAGGGCACCAAGAGAAGGTTAGCACGCCTTGCTGTGCTCAGAAGCAGCCAACCTGCCGGCCCCACCCAGAGCCCACTGTACAGCGTTCCCCCGACTGCTGAGCTGGGTTACTGAGCCCCGATCAACACTCACCAGCAAGGTGAGGCTTTGTTCCGGCAGCATCCCATACTGCTGAACAAGCTTCTCCCGGGTCACGCTGGGGAGCTCGGGGAGCTGCTCCCGAATCTGGTCAACGTTGATCACCTGCTGCGGGTCTGCGCCAGCAGGCAGAGACGCCGAGTCGTAGAGCAGCAGGGGAGGCAGGTTGGGTTCGGGGATAAACCTAGGCAGAAAGGAGACAGCGCCGGGCTCTGAAGTATTTAGTTTAATACGGAAAAAAACCTACCACCAGTATGAAAGTTTCTGTGTAGAGAGGCCACTTACTTGCAGATATTTCTAATATCTTACAATATCAACAGTGGCCCCTTGTTTCCTAGGAGTGAGTCTTTGCACAAATGTAAACCAGAGCCAGAAACACCAACCCTGCTGCTTTCCACGCTTATGGCCTAGTGACCAGTGAAGAAGGCACAACACAGTTGATGCCGCACTGTGGCGTGTAACTGTGGCCAGAGCGTGTGCCCATGAAAACACGCAACCAAACGAGAACAACTTATTAGGAAAAAAGATGACTTCCCTGATTTAAAAATTTCCACTATTTTTAGCAGTATTTGTATAATAAATGAAAAGTCAAAGAATAAAAAGACATTTTCTTGAGAAGTAGGAGAGATGATTGGATTTTGCCTAAATAAAGTAGAAGCTGGAGCGGAAGGGGGGAGGGAGGGGTGAGTCCAGACAGGGATGTTTAGGGCAGTGAAACTCTTCTGAATGACACTATAATGCTGGATATATGTCATACATTTGTCAAATGTCCAACACAAAGACCAACCCTAACATACACTATGAATTTTAGTTAATGATAAGGTATCGACTTCGGTCCATCAGTTGTAACAAATGCACCACACCACACACTAATGCAGGACATTATTAGGGGAAACTGAGGGGGGAGAGAAAGTATATGGTCTCTGCTATACACCAAGGAACACACAGAATGCTCTGCTCTAAACCGAACACCGCTCTAAAAAAATAGTCAGTTGACTTTTTGAAATGTGAAGCTGCGCCACTGCCTGTGATCTTAGGAAACACAGATGCCCTTCCCTCTGTTTTATCCCAGCATCTATTGTTTGCTCTCTGCATCTCTTGTCCAGGGGCTCGTGCAGACGCAGAATAACACAGAACAAATGGTGGCTTGGAGGTGACAGACGAGAAGTGTTAGCAGCCCGTCACCCCGGCGCCAAATCTGCGCTGTGAATCAGTGGGGCTTCTGAAAGTAAGAGGGGATCCTGTCTGTTAACCTGAGGGACCGAGCAGAAGCCACTGGCTAAGCCAAAAGTATACTGCGTCCTTCTTAAGAAAGCAGCAGGGACAGAGCACAGCAACACTGGGGACGCAGGTTCTCGGGAAGAACAGACTGACCCTAGAAGATCACAGAAACTCACACCACGCACTTTGACAGACTCCACGAGAGGAGTCCATGAGGTGAAGTTCACTCAAAAGGTTTATGAGCTTCTTCTTTTCCACATCCTCAAGGTCAACAGTAGCTACATTTACATCTTCCTGCACGTCACCACAGAAAGGTGGACTAACCTCAACAACTTTAATGCACAAAACTTCAATTTTCGCAGTTTGCTAAACTGAATGGAGAAAAAAAATAAAATCTTCATTTATCTTAAGCCTGTCCTTATTATTTGCTGTATTTCTGGATGTCATAGTAAGTCCAACTTGTTCAATTTATCAATCAAATAGCACTACTTGAAGTTTGAAGCAAAGTGCCATCTGTTTTTTCATTTCTTCTCAAGGAACTTCCGTGCCTTACTGGATTCGCTCCCGAATGCATGAGTAAGAACAGGCCAGCCCCCGCCCTCAACGGCCATCCTCTTAGTTCAGCTGTAACAACTCGCACACAGGGGCAAGCGAACATGTCTTCCAACAATAGGATCACCTCTAAGAAGGGACTCCAGGCTTCCAACTTAGAAACACATTCTTTCTCTCAGTGTGCACTAGAACAGGAAGTCTAGATTTTCCATCATGTAACTAACAAAAACTGGTTCCTAAAAATCTACCCAGGATCATTGGGCTGATCTCACAGTGGATCTGAAATATGCCTCTAACCCCAAATACACAATGCTACTTGACAAGATGAGTATTCACCTGTAGTCTTGTTTTCCTTCCTTGTCTCTCATTGGCACAGTGCACCTGCGGTAGTTAAACAAGGAAATGTCAGAGAGTTTGCACCAGCCCTGGCCGGCACATATTCAGAGAAGGGTTCCCTGCCGATAAGGGTTACCGCAGAAATTCCAGCTCTTCAGGCCTCCCTTGGGAGACACTTTATGACTACGCTAATAATATTAAAAAAGAAAAATGTTTAGAATGCTAATTTTAAAAAATAAACTGCTTCAATGCAAAGAGCTTTTAACCAGTTCTAGGTCTAGGCTTTTGAGCTTTGCTTAGTCTTCTGCTAAAGGTATAAAACCCTCAAAATTTCTGCATTAGAAAAATTAAAGTCAATGTCAATGTTATCTAAAGAAAAAAGGGCACCTCTACAACCAGCTGTATACTTTCTGTAAGCTAGAGCTCTATACCTCTAGCCTAAATTGGTAGAGCTTTACTCTGACAGAAATTGAGGAAATAAAAATTCTTGCTGCAAAGCAGGTAACTCAGAAGCAAGGGCAGGGACAGGACCTAAGACCAGCACTGTGTAACAAGTTGGGCTTGGTTTCAACTTTCCACCAGCCCTATGGGGTTCATCATTGCCCTGCAGGGCAGGGTCCCCACCCCGGGGCTGTGCCCCAGTGTGGGTCTGTGGCCTGTTAGGAACCAGGCCCCACACAGAAGGTGAGCCACGGTGCTAGCATTACCACCTGAGCCCCACCTCCTCCCCTCCCCAGCACCCCCCCCCCCCACCTCACCCCACCGTGCCATCCCTGGAAAAACTGTCTTCCAGGAAAATGGTCCCTGATGCCAAAAAGGTTGGGACTGCCACCCGCTGAAGGATACAGCGCCCAAGGCGCTGGTCAGTGCAGACTCACCCCAGCTTGTAATCATAGGAGCGAGTTTCATTCAGAATTTCGCCTCCATTCTCAAGTTCTCTGATTTGCCTCTGAATTTCATAATCTAAGAAAAACACAGTAATTTAGTGCCATATTTTTGACTCCTTTCATCCAACCAAGCAACATTTAAAAACCTTTTAAACCTTTAACTCAAAAACTAGTCATTCACCTCACTTCATCTCAATACCAGGCACCGGGTCACTTCACACGAGTCAAGGGTGAATAGAGTACAATGGGATGTTTTGAGAGTCAGACACGACACCCACAAAACCTTTACCACAATATATTGTTACAATTGTTTAATTTTTTATTAGTTATTATTGCTAATGTCACACTGTGCCTAATTTATAAATTAAATGTGACCACAGGTCTGTATAGAAGAAAACGCAGTATCGATAGGGTTCTGTACCACCTGCAGTTGCAGGTGTCCACAGGGGTCTTGGAACATGTCCCCTGTGGACAAGGGGACACACATTATTGTACGCTGTATATCCTATTTTATTCTTGTTTCCATCATAGAATGATGGTGCTTAAAAGGGTCTTTTAGGAAGCACTGCTCCTCCCTTTTTGAGAAAACTTGGGTTCAGAGAGATCGAGTGACCCAGGACAGATCACACAACTGGGCAGAGGGGCTGGGAACGCTCTCCGGCCGAGCCACTCCAGATCTCAATTGCTGCCTGTCAGGAGTTCCTAGCCTGGAATCCCCAGATGCCAGCCAAGTGGGCCTGGGCTAGGCCAGCAAATGGAGCACGACCTACGGAGAGAGGAGCCCAGCAGACATCCAGCACCAAGGCCCCACCCTCGAGGGAGGTCCTCTCAGACCCTCTGTTTCAGCTGAGCTGCCGGCTTCCACGGCCACATGAGGGAGCTGAGGCAAGACCAGCAGAAAAACCACCCAATCCACAGAACTATGGAAAGTTAACTGGCTGTACGAGTCACTAAGGCCTGGGGTGGCTCGTTACACAGCAGTAGACAACTGACACAGAGACGGGCATTAGGAGTAACAGCTGATGTTCACCTATGGCTCTGGCCAAGAACCTGGCACTGTTGAGATTCTTCACTTCAGTTCGAACACCCAAAGGCTCCCCAGGGCGATGCACAGATATATTGGCATCCACTCTCAACTGGCCCTCTGAAAGGAGAGAAAACAGACAATTCTTTAGAAATTCTCTTGAGGCCACATGGTCTTTCAAAGGCCAGAGTCCAGGCAAGCACCAACTACTCCCATTTGTTGTCTTGTTACAGCAACCTAACCTCAGAGAAGGTGCGGCTGGTCCTGCAGTGCATGGCTGGCACTTCTATCTGCATAAGAGGGTTCCGGTCCTAAAGCTCTGCGGTGCGTGTGTGTACATGTGTGCATGTGTGTACTTGTGCACACGCAGAAGGAGAGAGGAGAAATTCTGGGCACACCAGCTGGGGAAACCTCATTTCTTTTGCGCCCAATAAGAAAAAACAACACTGTTAAAATGGAGATTTACTCAGCGGTTTTATTCTCAGGCTTTTTCTGAAGTGTCAGAGCTGGGCTGTCGGGAAGGCCTCAGCAACGACTGTCTGATGCCCTATACTGCTCTCCAATGGAACGTGGATTCCCCACAGTGATGCCAGGAGATTTACAAGAGAGTCCTTGAGCATTTACAGCTCACGGGCAAGAGCCAGAACGTGTACTGTAGTGATCCCTTCCTTCCACTAACACGACTCTGAACCCTCCCTGATTGCCGAAGGGATTTGTTGCAGCCCATGGAGCTGTTAGGATGGGGAGGGCCTGAGGCGGGGGCTCAGCAGACACTGTCCCCGGCCTGGGCGAACCTGCTCTGACCCTGAAGCCCCTTCACGTTAGGAGCAGTAACCCTAAAGCAGCAGCTGGTTTGTGGAGAGGATTCTGAGGCTCTTGAGGAGGAGGGTGTGGGGGTAAAACCCCAAGACAAATAGGGAGGGGATGTTAAGAAACACTCAGTAAAACTCAAATTCTCTGCTCTTCATTTTCATTTACAATATTCAAAATAGGACAGAATAAGAAGATAAAATGCTGGATTTTTATTTTCCTAGGCAGGTTTCTAAATTGAAAAATAATCTGCCAAACCTAAGAGTTCTGACAGGCTAAAGAAAGAAATACATTTCCCCAGATTCCACAGCAAATGCATATTAAAATAATAAGATGGTATAAATAAACTGCACACCACGAGAGGAGACCTGGTCTCTGTCACACCCCCACAGCTGAGCTGTGGGGCTCGATCTCCCAGCTTGAGGCCAATGGCCGGCTGCTGCCTGCCCTGCCTGCCACTCAATTCCCTCAAGAGGGGCCAGCTCACCACTCTGCCAAGGCAACTTGACCCAGGCTGACTGCCAAGGAAGAGGCACCTTTCAGCTCAGAGATCACCCTGTCTCTAGTGGGGACATCTCAGCACTTTTACAAAACCCTCCAGCTCCCTCGGGACAATCTGTTCCAACTATTCCTGACACCGTCAGACTCTTGGTTTAGGATCCCTGAAGATATCTTCTACTTCTCTTTTCTTTGTCCAAACTGACTACTATATCCTATCGGTTCTTCCCTCCATAATCCCTCATACCTGTCACTTCCTCTCTATTGCCACTGTTGCCACCCTCACCCGAGGACTCGGAACTTCAAGCCCAGATTACAGAATCACATCTGGATGTTCCACACAGAAGCCCTCCCTGTCCAGCCGCCCACGATGTGGCCCTGACTTTCCTCCTGCCCAGTGTCGTCTCCACACTCCCGCTGCTTGCTCAAGTGCACAGCCAGCTCCTAGTAGACCACCTCGTCTCCTCTGCTGGTATTCAAGAGCCCTCCCTGCCCCGGACGCAGTTGGCGCGCTCCCATTTTCCCACTGCACTCTCCGTGAGAAAGCCGCCTCCACACGAGGCGCTGTCTGCCCACTGGCCCCTCCCATGCATCCTCTTCACCGGAGTCACTGTCCCTTCTTCAACCTCCGCTCATCTGTCAGGGTCCCACTGAAGTCGCCGCCTTCTCCTCCTAAGAACCCTTATCAATAAGCTGGCTGCCACTGCTGGTTCCTCTGAGTTGTTAGAATACACACAACCAATAACACAGAATTTACCACGTGTCTACAGTCTGTTTTGAATTCATCTCATCTTCAAGACCAGGAGGGCGGGCCTTTCAGCAGTGGGACCAGACTGTTAATCCCCACCCTCCTCGCCCTCCCACGGACGTCATGCTGTCAGTCAGTTCCCCTGTCCTGTGCCAGCCATCAACTGCCCTTTCTCAGCACTGCTTCTGGTATGTACCTGTGCACAGTGCTGCGCATTAAAGAAAAACCAAAAGCCACACCCTACTCCCTTAAACCCAATTCTCTCTCCATCATTAAGCTATTGTTTCCCTACTTTCCTAGTCAGCAAATCCTCACAAACAAGCTGTGTTTCTTGAACACACCGTCTCCATGATCTCACCTCCCATTTCCTTCTAAACCCACTTCAGCCTGGCTTCTGTCCCCACCTCTCAGAAGGTGACTTGTCAGAGTGGCTGCCAAATCCACTGGGCAAAGGACACATTCTAACTTCACCTGACAAGAGACCTCAGCAGTATGTGAGACACCCACCAACCCTTCCTTCCTGAAACACCTTTCTCTCTCAGCTCCTGAGACCTATGCTCTCTTGCCTCCCTGGGACACTCCATTCCCACTTCATATGCTTGGCTTTCTTGCCCATCCAGACTCAGGATGAGTCTCTGCTTACGCTCTCACTGTGGGGGTATTTGGTTTGAACACCATTGGTTGCTGATGACCCCTGAATTTATCTCTTCAGTGCAGACCTCTGCTCTGAGCTCCACACTGACCTCTGATGTCTCCCTGGCACCCCCACTTGCAGGTCTCGAAGGTATTTCAATTTCTGAAACTAAATCCTGCTTGGCGCCCCCAACCCCCCCACCACATCCATTCTTGTCCTCACCTTCGCAATTTCAATAAACAGCACCTCGACCTGTCTTCTTAGTCTTCCCTAAAAGCACCTTTGATTTCTTTCTGTCCTTTGCCTTCCATTCCAGCCTGGTAACAAGTCCCGTTATTTTTAAAAACCTTCTTGAATCTACCCATCTTGATCTGTCCCTCTTCCCTGATACCAGCCCTGTCCACAAAAGCATCATCTTCCATCTGAGCTATTACAAAAGCTTCTTAACTGGTCTCCTTGCTTCCCCTTCCCCTTCTGAAAACCCACTTTCCACCAAGCAGCCAGAGTTTTTTTTTCTAAAACATTACATGGACTAAGTCATTCCCTTGCTTAAAAGCCTTTGATGGCTTCCCGCTGCAGGTGGGACGAACCTCAGGCTTCTTACCATTTTTGGTCATCCGGCCCTCGCCTCCTCCTTCAGTCTCACTTGAAGGCACGTTCCCCTGCGCAGTACGCATTCCCTGCAGGGGCTCCTGTTCCCTTGTGAACTACAGGCACCTCCTACACTTTTTCCCATTCTGGGACTTTGCCTCAGCGCTTCCCAGGAACGCTCAGCCCCTGGCTCTTTGCTGGCTGGGCCTGGAGTCCTGCTTCAGGGCTCAAGTGAATGCTGCCTCCTCTGAGAGGCCTGCGTCATGTCCGATGTTATTCTTGCTCATGGCTCCCTACCTGTTTCCTTAATGCACGTATCACTATAATTGTTTTGTTTTCTTTGTTAATGACTTTCCCTCCCTCGTGCATATAAGCTTGTGAATATAGCAGGAACAATGTCCTCTTCACTGCTACGTCCAGAACCCAGAGCTGGGTCAGTAAATAAACACCTTGTTGAACAAGCCAAAACTCTGGTATTTTCTCTTTAAAAAATATTTTATGTATTTATCTTTTAGAGAAGAGAAGAGAGGGAGAAAGAGAGGGAGAGAAACATCAACCTGTGGTTGCCTCTTGTGCATGCCCTGCTGGGGACCTGGCCTGCAAAACAGGCATATGCCCTAACTGGGAACTGAACTGGTGACCCTTTGATTCTCAGGCCGACACTGAACCACTGAGACACACCAGCCAGAGCAAAAATTCTCGTGTTTTGCCGAGCAATGAGTAATTACTGCCTCACAGTAAGTTCCTGATAAATTCTAATAGGGCTAATCTACAGCTGGAACCATTTGAAAGGCTCATTCAGCTTTAAAAACCAACAAACAAAAAACCAACAAACAAAAAACTTTCCAAAGTACGCTGAGCTCTACTCAATCAAATCTCAATCCTTGAGAGACAACTTTGTTGGAACTCAGGGAACCCTGAATTGGACCTCACTTGCTTTTAAGAACAAAACTATCTTTCACAATTTAGAATTCTAATTTGGAAATGGAATAAAAGCACGAATTTCAGTCTCTCCCAGAGAAGACCATACTATATGAATGTTTGAGAGGAATCATTTAGTATCCTGCAGTGTTGAAAGGGAGTTCCCCAGCCTGGATTCAAAGAGAGTACCAAACACTAACAAAAGACAGTCTAGCCAGTGAAGACAAAATACCTTTTAAGCAAATTGAGTTAAATTGCCTCCGGTGCACAAAAGCCTTACCAGTCGGCTTACCCGATGCATTCTGCAACACAAAGGGAGGGCGCTCGCTCACATATCATGGGAGTGTCATCAAGCTCAATTTCTACCCTCTAGAAGTCGAGATTTGTAACAGCAAAGCTAAAGCACTATACCACTGAGCACAGTGATATGCCACAGTTACACATATTTTTTTTCTAAAACACAGGCACACATCAGAAATATAACATCAGGACAGAAAGCTGTTTCTGTGAACAGCAGGGGCCCGAGGATTTATTTAGTGAGGAGTCTCTTAAGCTATCTTGTTCTGATCACTGAATACTCTGCAGAACTTAAACAACAAGGTCTGACAAGGAGGAAAGGCGACCAGATTGTATCAAGTGTATTTCACAAAGCGGCCCCATCTACCCTGAGTGGTGGTTCTGTAAAAGCACTACTACTGACTACCGCTGAACATACCCAAGACAGTGAGCACGGCTGTTTGTCAGGACTGGTGACAAGTTTTACACACACCATCATATCTGTTCCAGACAATCCAGTTTCAATGAGAGAGCCACTTGGACACCCGTTAGGCCCATCAAACTTAACCCCTTCGACATGGAATTCAGATGTTCTCCCACAACAGTACTGCTCTCCCAACCTTCCTTGCCTCAGCCAACCAC